ATACTTTTTCCAGATCCCAAACAGCGATCCTTGCTTTCGCTCTTCTGTATAGCGCCTTTTCGTTCAGCTCATCCCTTTTCAAGACTTCACTTGCCGCATCAATTGCTTCATAATATTGCTTTTTGTTCAAGCAGCACAGTGAAAGATTCAGAAATAAAGGTATGTTCTGTAAAATACACAAAATTACTTGGTTACAAAAGCAGTCATTATCTGAAAATACAAATGCCAAACCACTGAACGAGGATTCGAAAACTCTACAAAACTTTTTTAAGGAAACCCACCTGTTTGTCGAGATCAATCCACTCATGATCACCGGGCTTCTCTCGCAAAAGCAGTGTTTCTATTCGATTCAGTGCTTCGCGGTACTTCAAAGATGCATTTTCTAAATCACCCTGAAATATACTTCTTTTCCACAGCACAGCATATGAAGATTTTACTTTCACAGAAAAAAATGTCCAACAGGACGGCGGCCAGTCGCCCAGAACTTGATCAAATATAAATTTATATTCAATTGTCTCTTTATTTCTGTGCTAATACTACTGCAGTAGCATGCTAAGGCAAAAAAAAACCACGAAATTTTCCACTGGAAAGAGGAAAAAAAATGAACATTTTTTACGAAGAGTGATAAAATTTTGAGGGGAGAAAATAGTCTTTTTAACGAAAATTCATAAAATCGATTGGAAAAAGTTCAAAATCGAATCAGTATAAAAAGAATAATAAAATTTGCAGGAAGAGACTAACAGAGAACATTTCCAACATGAGTGCACATATCAAACTGTGAAGCAGTGGACATTCTTAATGTTAATGATATTATTAATGCACGAAACTGTACAAGTCTGAGAAACCTAGGAAGCTATCCATTTGATTAAATTTATAACGGCAGCTGAGCTAAACTTTATTTTAACGGGATTTCGTAGAAAAGAACCTTTTTCAGGAACTCATTACCGGCCTCTTTCAATTTTGCGACGCTTGCCAGTTTTTCATGCGGTTCCAGCTGCCAGCTATCTGGCTCGTAATCTTCCGGTTGCAGCACTTCAAGCAGATGAAAAATGAATCGCAGAGGTTGTGGATTTTTAATCAATTCATTTAGAGCGCCATATTCTGTCCTGAAAAAAAAAAAAAAATAAATAGCAGCGCCCACCAGAATAGCCAGTGCGATCATGTGTTTTGCGCAGTTCCGATCAGCGGATGTTGTTGCTCAGAATGGTATGTGTTAAAATGTTGCCCATCTTCCGAGCTATGAAATTTTGCACTAAAAATTTCACGTCCTCGTAGGTGATATATGAGAGCTGAATTTAGAGTTGTAGAATCTCCCCAAAAATTGGTAACTTCCCAAAAATTGGTGTTTTCTATCTTGTTTAGTTCCCGGAGTAAAAATTTCTCATCTGAACTTTCACGTGTCCGTGTGTGCACAAGAAAAACGCAAACAAACTTTTTCAGCTGAATTCAAATTAACCTTAAAGTTATCTCAAGTGTTCGCATGCAAGATTTAAGCATACTCAAAATCAGAAATTTAAGTTTTTTGATCGCATACGGACACAGAATATTTTTCTAGAAATTTCAATTTTTTAGCTTTTCTTAGCAACTGACTTGAAATTCCCGGATAACACACATCCTAAAACATACACACACATGTGTGTACACACGTGCACACACATACATACACACATATAGGCAAAAACAAACACATATTAATGGAATCATGACAGTACGAGTTTTGTGCAAATGTTGTGTCAGAAAACCCGTAAAAACGAATTTTCGCATATTCCAATTTTACAGCTGCCTTAGCAAAACATGGAAAGTACTATAGTCCTAGGTATACAGAAATATCATTTTTAAGTCCTGCTACGAATTATACGTAGACGTACGTGAAATTTGCTGTTGCAGCACAATGTGTGTGATGATGCGTTTCGCTGCCCGGATGAATGGCATCCTTGGAGATGTCACGAAGTTTCTGCGAGACCGATGGATACGGATAAAGCTCAGAAGCAGCTATATCAAATTGGCTAATCTGGAAATGACGGAAAAAAAACTTTTTTTTCGGCTAATCTGAAAATTACAAAAGGAAAATCCTTGTTTTCACTTTTATTTTTGTTTCTTATTATATTTTATTCCCTTATTTCTATTTCTTTTTTTCTATTTTTTTATATTTCTTACTATTGTCTTATAATACCGCAAAAAAAGAAAAAAAAATAAAATAGATTTTTGATAATCTATCCCATTTTGGCATACCCTCGCTAAGCAGTTGGTAAGCTTCCAGTGCCTGGTGTTACTGAGGCTGATGGTCAAATTCCGTCATTTTAAACACGAAAAGAGATTACTGGGAATTTAGGTGTCTGTCCTTTTGCTTCTCGCCCTC